TCAGAGCGAAAGGGTCAGGAAAAATACTTTATTTCCTAACTCACTTACGTATTCGTTACCTGTAGTTGTTTCTGTACTTTTTTTTTTTTTTTCAACATTTTCGATTATCCGTACGCGATAATCAGGGAGGTGGGATTTGTCACTCGCGATATTTGCATGTAAAAAAAAAGACGGAATTTCTTCTCGTTTTTATACACGAGCCAAAAAGAGAGCTACGCGAGTACATGTATAATATGCATGGTGAAAATAAAAGTTTTTTTTTATTCATTGCTATCCTTTTGATCGACTGAAAGATTTTTTTTGAGTGTACCATGGATACTTTTTAATTTTTCGCTGTAGTTTTTATCGTGAAAATTAAAAAATCGCGTGAAATATCGCTTCCAGGTGCACCAAACAATTTATAAAGTATACCTACTCTGCAAATGGTTCAAGCTATTTTTGATGTTTAATGTTCAATGTAGCACCAAGGTCCTCCGGCGCTACTCGATAACGTTCTACTGAATGAAATCGAAAAGTATATGTACGTGTGGCTTCAATATCAGGCGAAGTAAATAAAAATCTATCTCATCGGTCGATAAACGATGGCAAGTGTATTGACAGTAAAAGCGAGACAATGAGGATTCGGGTTATGCACCTATGCACCTCCGAGATATAATTGAAACCAGGTTATCGCGTTTACGTTGACGTGTCGACGAGAGGCACCGAGGAATGTGATACTGAAATTTTTTTTTTTCTCCTTTTAACGAGAGGCTCAACAAAGTTTGGATTGTCCTCCTACGCTCTGCACAAAACTTACGAGTGACAATTGGACGGCTTTCATGGAAATCCTTCAAACCGTCGGCAAACTGCGTATAAGTACGCGTTAAAAACTTTGTAATTTGTACAAGTAGCAATTTCATCCTCGGTGACTACAGGCATCTTAAAATATACCCTCCTGCCGAACGTCCATTCATCGATCACTGTATCATAATTTTTTAGTTGTACCTATACGTCACTGATACAATAATTTGTTTTTGTTTTTTTTTTCCTACATTACTTTTCCTTTCTTCTAGGAATCGCGAGCCAACAAAATAATGTGCATGAATAAATAAATAAGCGGTGCAACGTTCGGTACCGAAACGTGAAATGCCAATTGCTGCTCTTCTATAAGCGAATCACACAGGCAATAAATAAATCATTGATTATTTACCTAATGTAAATTTAAAATTGTTTCGTAAATACTTCGCGCTTTCGCGTAACATCCCAACGTAGGGATAGAATCGATAAATAATGCAACTCTCATAAATTCGTAACGCAAATCGATCCTATAGGAATTTACGTTATAAATCGCACTGTCTCGGCGCGGTGCACTTGAAATTAAATGTCTTCAAAGCTCACGTTTCGGTACATCAGCCCACAAATTTCCAAAAGTGATTTAAATCTTGCGCAAACAACACACGCTATGCCACTTCATAAATACAAGTATAGACACTTTTTACGTTTTATTGACAAGTAAACCAATAGAGTTTTTTTTTTTTTTTTTTCTACTTTAAATTGAAGTAACCACGTCACATTAAGAATTTAAACCGCTTATATTTGGAGCTTGACCTCAAACGCTGATTGCTCCTAATGCGTTTCAGGAATGCCTAATTGAATTATTTTATACCTTATCAGAGAGAAAAAAATGGGGAGGGGGGGTGTATACATACTCGGGTGTTTTCTCATCGTGCACTTAACGATGTGGACACTAACCTTTATCAAACACATTTGCGGGAGAAAAGGGGGGGGGGAAGGAGTAAAGAAAGAAATAGAGAAAAGTGGGAGATAAGATTTGAACTGGATAGGCCGCTGAATGAATCGGGGCCTATGTGTCGTTGAAAGCCGCGCGCAAAAGAGCGAATATCACGCGTGGCTCGGCCGCCAATGTAGTTGTGACATTTTTTATCCACCGATACAGAAAATTTGGACGAAAAAAAAAAAAAATGCCTGTTGCTTAATTTTAAAAGTTTTACTTTCTTTCGTGTCACAGAAACATATACGCATTAAAAAAATATACTTTATTAATACTTTATTGGCATCTTCCTCTCTGTCGATTAGGAGTTGTTGAATTTATGTATTTAAATTATTTCACATACTACTCATTTGTCAATTATAAGTTCAACTTATAGTCTTTATACGTTATCTAATATTTTACCACGATAATATCTAATTGTTTGTTTGTTTGTTTCTTTGCTTTTGCGTGTACGTGTTTTATATTTTTACTAAGGGACTTAAAATAGGATATAATGCATGTAAGTTTACTCATTTCACTTGTAACAAAAATTATTTTGATCCCCAAGGATACCAGCATAAAAAAAAGGTATGAACTACTCGCTTTCGATTTGAGTTTTTCTACAGTTATGATCATGTAAAATTCCAAAGCTTCTGAAAGTTTATTATTTTTTTCGTGTCATGTTCAACGGGTGACATTCGTGTATATGTTTATTATTAGATGCATGAGTGCCGTCGTAGCCTCCCGTCAGTACCTATTGATAATAAATTTTATTTAACGAAAAATCGTGAAAAAAATTCATCCATCCCATTGGGCCGATAATCAAACCACCTCGTCACCTTTTATTTATGCTGTTTGTTGAAGTGTCTCGCGATAATAAATAACCCATTACGATGTCGTGAAAAATAAACGAAGAAACGTCCTAAATTAGCTTCTCCGTAGAGAGAATCCAACAATAACCACAAAATCAAAGTAACAGCTAAATTTGTACATCAAAATTACGATGCGTTAACAATTCATTATTTATATAAGAATGATCATGTCAATCATTTACATAGTGTTATTATCGATTGATATACTAATTTTTGATAAAACTATGTAATCTATTATTGTTATTGATAATAAGCTATATTATTAACAATTTTGCAGAGACTGCTTTGAGCACAATAAATAAAAAAAAAAAAAAAACACGCAGCAAATTAATTGGCCGACGAAAATAAAGCTGAGTCGGAGGAGTTTTGATGTTCGAAATTGTTAAAAAACTGCCTCATTGTGAGCCGATGATGCGTGCACTCGTTTATATACGTAGCTCGTCACCATCAACTCGTGAGAAAGAAACAAAAGTGCGGGCTGCAGTGATTTAATCCACTCGGGGTATACTTTTCCGTAAATTTTGGTGGTTTGCCGTGATTTTTCACGGAGCAAACAGAGGCGCGTGAAACAAGGCTCGATAGAACCGCAGTTGTCCAGGCACGCAAAATTTTGGGCATACGGCGCAAGCCATTGCCGTAACTTTAGTACACACTGCCTTGCATTTCAATCAGCTGTTGCTTTCAATGTGTTGCAGTGGCGACACGCTTGCGTGCATACATACAAACACTTTTCGCGTACACTACGTATTAATTTATTCGCTCGAAGAGAAAATAAAACGAATCTTGACGTGTAATAAGCATATCTGTGGCGTGCAAGTGTGTAATATTTTTTTTTTTTTTTTTTTTTTTTTCGACACGATTATCAGCTACAGATTAGAAAAATTCTAGTTAAATCGATACGCATTATGTATTTTCCCTCTCCCTCCGTTTTAGAGAACCACCATCTCAACCGATCTTTGACATACGTGTACTTTTAATTTTCTTTATCAGATGACGAATTTTTGGTAACTCTCATTACATATACTTACATGCACATCATTATATTATTATGATTCAAGGCCATGCGTAAAGAGTTGTTCGATAGTGTGTATACCTATATTATATACTAGGGAGAAAATCACTGATCGTTATCGTTGCGTATATACTCCATCGTTGGCAAAGGAAAAAGTTGTAAATAAATACGCGAACGTTTACCCATATTTCGGCAAAATTTTAATAAGAGTAAGACATTTTTTACCTGTGAGGGACAAAAAAAAAAGAACGCCCACCCTTCTACGTAGGAGTAGTGCAATGTATACTTACTATTTCCCGATCGGCCGAAAAAAAGTGTACACGTATAATATACATTCAAAGCACTGCAATAACTTTCCCTCGATAGCGGAAAAATCGAATTACGCAACCGCGTACAAGATAATCGACTCCCTTTCCCCCCGCCCCGAGCATAAGTACTTTGCGGACTCGCGCTAAATGATTCACGTTGCAAGTATATTCTTGAAAAAAACAAAAAAAAACAAAAACACGTATATACAATATGCACCGTGGTAAAAGTATATAGAGACTTTGTTCCCTCATTTCTCCCAGACTCTCATAAATGTGCCTATAAATAAACAGACGTGCCTCGCGTTATGCTGCACATACGTCCAACGACACACAACATGTACTATATACGTGCGATACACGTTACACCGACACTATCCCCTCCCATTGGGTTTTTTTTTCCCCCTCGTTCCAACGAAACAACCACACAAACATCATCCCTTTGTGCAAAACAATAATAATAAAATTATATATCGACTGACAATTGCACGTTGTTTTTTTGGTTTGCAGTAGGGGGCAGAAATAGGGCGCGGACGGCGCAGGAGGAGGAGGAGGCGGAGGCGGAGGCGGCTGCTGCCGAGGATCAGCAGCAGCGAAAGCGGGGCATCGTCGGCTCGTCCACGCGACAAGTAGCAGCAGTCACGTAGTAGCGGGAGAACGGCCGTCATCGACGAGACAGCCGTCGTCATCGTCGGCCTGTCTGCACCAGCAGGAGCATATACCCAGCAAACCATCACGACCGTGCAGCCCGTACATACCACTTATAATCGTCGTCGGTGCGCGACTAACTCCCTACTGCCTCCCTCTGTGCGCAAGCTATACCTCCTCTATATACGTATGCTGCGCGTATACATGTATACATGCACACCACCTACTACGGCCTAAGCTAGGAGGCGGTGGTGGTGGTGCGGGCAGTAGTAGAGAGCGCCCGGACTGGTGAACTGTGTATACGCTCTGGCGCTGAGCTGCTGCTCCCTGGAGTGTGTGTGTGAGCGTGTGCTGGGCTGCGCCGGAGGCGAAGAGCCGGAGCGCTCGAGCAGCAGGAGGAGGAGGCGGTGGTGGTGGTGGTGGTGGTGGTGCCGGTGACAGCAGAAGCACAACGGGGCCAAACTTATAATATACACATATATACATATTAACCTACGAAAGAACGCGCTGCTATACACCAACCACCAGCCTTCAGGAGGTGCCATCGACAGCACCAGCTGACTCTCCGTGTGTCCGTGTGTGGGTGTGTGTGTGTGTGCGCGCGCGTGTGTGTGTGTATTAAATCCTACGCACACTATTGAAAATATTAAAAGTAAGAGCTCTCGGTGCATCATCAGCAGCAAGGGTGCAGTTGAGAGTTGAGAGTGAGAGAGAGAGAGAGAGAGCTGCTCTTGGCAGCAGAGCAGAAGACGGCCGGCAGCGCTGCTCCTCCCTCGCTGCTGCAACAGCTGCAGCAACATCATCGTCAGCGGATAGCCCGCAGAGTAGCAGAAGCACCAGCAGCACTGAAGGAATAACAGTATAGGGCAGCAGCAGCAGCACGTCGTGTGTGCTCGTTGTTGTGCGGACAGCAGTAGCAGCGGCAGCAGAAGCAGCAAAAGTAGCTGAGCTCGCGGCAAAGTCATGGCGACCATCGACGGTCGACCGGCCCAGTATGGGCTTAGCCTTAAGCAGCTCCGCGAGCTCATGGAGCTCCGGGGCCGCGAGGCTGTCAACAAAGTCAACGAGTACGGTGGCGTACAGGAGATCTGCAAGAAGCTCTACACCTCGCCCAGCGAAGGTGAGCCACTTTGACTCTATCTCTCTCTTTCTCTTTGAGGTTAGACCAGCGACCTTCTGCTTGCCCCTCCTCTTCTTCGTCTTGTCAAATGCCTGCAAAGAGAATTTTTGCTGTTTATTCTTTTGCAACTGTTCGAAATGTTTTGAATTATGCCAAAATGGCTTGTTTGTCGAGTGACATTTTTACCTATTGCAGCTCTCCGAGGCTGTTGGTCTAACCTCGATTCGTTGTATCAGCAGCAGCAGTTCACTTTCTTATTGATGTGTGTGCTTGATTGAAAATTTATAAATTAAATTTTGTTCATTGAACCTCACATTCAATTTGCTGTCTTTTTTTTTTTTTCTTAATTTCTTTTGGTGAGGCCACTGTAGTTGTCTAGCTCCTCAAACTTTTGCTCTCCAAGCAATACTTTTTGCTTTGTTGTGTTTCCCATGGGTATAAAGTCAGTTTTGATCTTTAGAAAATCTTGACAAGCTGAAATAATGTTAAATATATCATTCAACAATCGATGATACCCTAATGTAAAATAATTCAGGTCTCAGCGGAGCAACACAAGACATGCAGCACAGGCGAGACACTTTTGGTTCAAATATGATTCCTCCAAAACCACCAAAGACCTTTTTAACGCTGGTGTGGGAAGCACTTCAAGATGTGACGTTAATTATCCTAGAAATTGCTGCCCTGGTATCACTCGGCCTCAGCTTTTACCATCCTAGTGATGAAGATGCAGGTGGGTTTACAAAATATCGTTATCGTTAATTAGTGCAATTGCACTGTGCATCCTCAAGTTATGTGTCAAAAATTTTTCATCTGCAGAGCCTAGTCCTGAAGATGAAGAAACACAGTATGGCTGGATTGAAGGTTTAGCTATCCTGATTTCGGTTATTGTTGTTGTCGTGGTTACTGCCTTCAATGATTATTCCAAAGAAAGGCAATTTCGTGGTCTGCAAAACAGGATAGAGGGAGAGCACAAGTTCTCTGTCATCAGGCAAGGCGAGGTCAAACAGATATCTGTCTCCGATATTATTGTCGGTGATATATGTCAAGTATGTACATTTTACCACACACGTTTTGATACAGTTCAAAGCAAAAATACTACTCATGATGTCATATTTGTAGATAAAATATGGTGACCTGCTGCCAGCTGATGGTATCCTTATTCAAAGCAATGATCTCAAAGTAGATGAGTCCAGTTTAACTGGAGAATCTGATCATGTGAAGAAAGGAGAATCCTTTGATCCAATGGTACTTTCAGGTGTGTATACAATTTTTATCTATTTATGTGCTAGCTCATCGCCATTTTTATTGACGTGATAATACATTGTTGTAAGAGTTATTAATTAATACCGCTGAAAAAAAATACTTGATAGCCAAGTAATAAAGTGTTTTGATAAACGAATGATTCATAGGATTCGAATATACATGACTATTCTATTGCATACAGATTATAAGCATTGACACAACAAAAGAGTATTAAGTTACTTCCTATTTTAGGAACTCACGTCATGGAAGGTTCGGGCAAGATGCTGGTCAGTGCCGTGGGTGTGAATTCTCAGGCGGGTATAATCTTCACTCTTTTGGGTGCAGCTGTTGATCAGCAGGAACAAGAGATCAAAAAGATGAAGAAAGGTACGCAAACTCGTACAAAATGGTTAAATGAATCAAAGTTTTCCGATGAAACTGTGCAAGAGCTGGTACTATTTTGCTCCGGCTCTGAATCTCAGGTTTGCCAAACGCCAGGGTCTCGCTTCTATTTATACATGCAACTTGTTAGCAGTAAATTTTTATAAGGTCTTTAGAAGAAAAGACATTTTAAGATTTTTTTTTTATATTGATACTTGATACATGAAAAATTGAGAGGCATGTAAGATAACGATGGATAGTTGTACTTTACTCTTCTCTCGGTCTCTCTCTATAGATCTATTTTTTTCATTCAAGAAGTGCAAAACTCAAAATTGATTAAATGAAGCTGTCACGTATTCAAACAGCTGCGGACGCATGGTTCTTATTTTATTTATTTAAACTTAACTGTTATCGTTATGAAAACTACTGAACTTTTCAGTAAATTAACTTTTTCATTTTATTTACTAGTAAGAAACCTAATTTTTCGCATGATCTCGCATCTAGAGTGATTTCGTGTTCTCCCTTTTTCATTACTTACTAATTAGCCCTTTTAGTGCACAAAAAAAAATTAATTAAGTAACATGATTTTTTTAAACTTACCTGTAAAATAAGACCATTTATCTAAAATATTTATGACATTAAACAGAAAAAAGTTTTTCAAATCCAACGTAATATTCTACAAATAAAAACTGTCAGTTTTCAATGTCTTTTACATAGTTTTACATGTGTGTCTTGTTCAGTTCTTTCGCATCATTACAACTTTGCGTCCTTGTGTTTGTTGCTTTGATCATTTTCCGCTGTTTAATCACGACACACTTTGTTGAAAAATGTAACCATTTTTGCTTATGTAAGAGTGTCGCATAATTCGTGTGAGCAGCGGTAAATGAAGAAAACAAATTGTTCACCCTCACTTACAATCTAATCAAAATAAATTCAAAACGCGGCGAACAATTACAGTTTAAGAAACTGATAAAATGATCAAAACGATTTTAATAAATACCATTTTCAAATTACAAGTATTATAATTGTTAACTAATTGTTCGCCGTATGTACCACGATCATTTGTCTTTTGTCAAAACCCTCCAAAAGAGTCGGCGAGCAAAACGATAATAATCAATCATAAATGCAACAGATTTGTTAATGAATCTTTGTTTTGCATGCGTTTTCTTATCTAGAGGCTAAAAAGCAGCGGAAGAAGAAGTCGCTATCAGGTGATTAAACATTTCAATACCATGTATTTATATTTTTCTTTTTTTTTTCTTTTAACGAACAGCTGAAGGAACTACTGGTATTAATATTTTTTCAACTTGGTAATCCAAAATTTCAGGAATCAGTTCTAGCTTTTTCTACTTTTAAATTTAACTTAGAAAGCAGCTTGACACTTATTTCAAAGGTTAATCTGGATAATTTATTAAAAAGTAAAATAGCTTATAAAACGCATTAAAAAAAAAAAAAAAAAAAAAAAAATTGCTCATTTTTTTTTATTGTTCAAATTCTTTATCTACGCTTGGGAACCATCAAATATCTTTATTCATTTAATAACTGTCTATTTACTCATTTTTTCATAACTTTCCCTGTCTGCCTTGATCTAAATGGTGATTGGTTTGCATTTCGATCCATTAGTGTTTTTTTCTTGCATTTTTGACTTTTTCTTTTTTTTTGTTCAACTAACTCTCCCTTTTTTTAACTCTACCAAGTAAATCAGCAACAAGAGTTTTTAAATCTTACTCTACTTATAAGCAACATGTAACGTGAGCACTCCTTTTTTGTTTTCTCTGAAACGATCAAAACATTTATTATATTTATAACGCTTCAAATTACTGGTCTTTAATTTTTCACTACTTACAAAACTATATTACACATTGTCATGTGTCAGTGTAAAAAAGATCGTTTGCTGGAAAAGCAACAAAAATGGTAGTGCTCATTCTACATCGGCATTTTTAAACGAACTAAAAAAGTTAACTAGACCAATTAAACATTTATGTGGTATTAACAATGTTGGTGTGAAATCATTAGTTTGCATGAAAATTGCCTTTGTAGTTTTAACTGTTGTTGGTGGCAAACATTTTTTTGTCATGTTACATTATTGAGGTATTTGTCAAACAGTCACATAAATGCCTGTACACCTGTTTTTCCCGTTCCGATTAAACGCATTGTAGTTTCAACTTCGTGTAACTTTAAATTAGTAATAATCCGAGTTAGCGCACTTTTCCGCGGCAGCGGTATTAAACTTTTAGAACAAACGAACAAAGTTGGTGGACACTTTTTCCTTTACTCTTCACGAGGTAAAGCGTGCATTGTTACGGTCCTTTTTTACTCGATTATTCATTTGCAAATTAAAATTCGTTTGTATAAATCTGTCCAACGTCCCGAATCATTACTTTGAATCGAAAAAAACTTCTTACGTGCTCATCACCTCCAGTCTAATGTCCGTAGTCTCAATGTAGGTGTGACTAAAACCCACCCAATCACACAGCACTGAGCTTCAAGTCTCGTCTCGAGTACTTACATGCAGCACCATAAATTTGGTACACAATAAAAAAAAAAAATGCCGCTGTAGAAGTATCGACAAGTTTGAGAGGGCAAAAAAAAAGCAAAGCAAATATTCCTGGCACGGTGTTATCTTTTGAACATTGGGCTTTCTGTTTTCTTGTTCCGCTTTCAACGACGATTCAGGCGACGAGGCCGGCGAGATAACGAGCAACAGCCATGCGCCGAAACAGCACTCGGTCGACGGAGAGAACCATCACGGTGGCGGTAAGTCCAGCGAGGAGGGTGGCAAGAAGGACAAGAGCGTGCTCCAGGCCAAGCTGACGAAGCTGGCGATTCAGATCGGTTACGCGGGCTCGACGATCGCCGTCCTCACTGTTATGATCCTGATAATCAAGTTCTGCACGAAAACGTATTACATCGAGGGCAAGGAGTGGCATCCGTCGCACATGAACGACCTGGTGCGTCATTTCATCATCGGTGTGACGGTGCTCGTGGTCGCGGTGCCGGAAGGCTTGCCGCTCGCGGTTACTCTCTCGCTCGCCTACTCGGTCAAGAAGATGATGAAGGATAACAACCTGGTGCGGCACCTCGACGCTTGCGAGACGATGGGCAACGCCACTGCCATCTGTTCGGACAAGACGGGCACGCTCACGACCAACCGGATGACTGTCGTACAGTCGTATGTCTGCGAGAAGTTGAGCAAGTCGGTGCCGAATTTTTCCGACATACCGAGCCACGTTGGCAACCTGCTGGTCCAGGCCATATCCATCAACTCGGCGTTCACGTCGCGCATAATGCCCGGGCAGGACCCGACCGACCTGCCACTCCAGGTCGGCAACAAAACCGAATGTGCCTTACTTGGATTCGTGGTCAACCTGGGCAAGAGTTATCAGACAGTGCGCGACGATAACCCCGAGGAGACATTCACGCGAGTCTACACGTTCAACAGCGTCCGCAAGAGCATGTCCACCGTCATCCCAAGGCAGGGCGGTGGCTATCGGCTCTTCACCAAGGGCGCCTCCGAAATCATCATGAAGAAGTACGCACGTGTTACGCATACTTTATGTGATGCACCACAGAGATAAACGTGATTTGAATTCTAATGGTTTTTTTTTTTTTTTTTTTTTCAGATGTGCCTTTATTTACGGTCGCGACGGTAACTTGGAAAAATTCACCCGTGACATGCAGGATCGGCTGGTCAAGAACGTGATCGAGCCGATGGCGTGCGACGGGTTGCGTACGATTTCCATCGCCTACCGGGATTTTGTACCAGGCAAGGCCGAGATCAATCAGGTCCACGTGGACGGCGAGCCCAATTGGGAAGATGAGGAAAATATCGTTGCCAATCTGACCTGCCTGGGCATCGTGGGTATCGAGGATCCGGTGAGGCCCGAGGTGCCCGACGCCATCCGCCGCTGCCAGAAGGCCGGTATCACCGTGCGTATGGTCACTGGTGACAACGTCAATACTGCCAGGTCGATCGCTATGAAGTGCGGCATCCTCAAACCCAATGAAGACTTCCTGATCCTCGAGGGTAAAGAATTCAACACTCGCATTCGCGATTCGCAGGGTGAGGTGCAGCAGCATCTATTGGACAAGGTCTGGCCGAAGTTGCGCGTCTTGGCGCGCTCCTCGCCCACGGACAAGTATGTCCTTGTCAAAGGTATCATCGAAAGCAAAGCCACGGCTAACCACGAGGTCGTGGCCGTCACCGGTGACGGCACTAACGACGGACCCGCCCTCAAGAAGGCCGACGTTGGCTTCGCTATGGGTATAGCTGGTACGTTTTGTCTTGTTTTCTTGCATTTCCTCTTGACCTTAAATCGTATCATTATCATCGTGAATACTTTTTCACGCGACGACTGTATTGTAGGTACCGATGTCGCGAAAGAAGCTTCGGACATCATCCTCACGGACGACAACTTCTCATCAATCGTTAAGGCCGTCATGTGGGGTAGGAATGTGTACGACAGCATCGCCAAATTTCTGCAGTTCCAGCTCACGGTGAACGTCGTCGCCGTTGTTGTAGCCTTTATTGGCGCCTGCGCGGTGCAGGACTCGCCTCTCAGAGCCGTGCAGATGTTGTGGGTGAACTTGATTATGGACACGTTAGCCTCGCTCGCGCTAGCCACAGAAATGCCCACGCCGGACTTATTGCTGAGGAAACCCTACGGCAGAACGAAACCCCTCATCTCCAAGACAATGATGAAGAACATACTCGGTCAGGCGATTTACCAGTTGACCATCATTTTTATGCTTCTCTTTGTTGGTGAGTTGATAAATCATTGTGTTACAATATCGTTTTACATTGTATCGTTTTCGAAAATAACAATTTTTTTATTTTCAGGGGACAAACTGCTCAACATTCCCTCTGGCCGAGGAGTTACCTCCGAGCCCACTCAACATTACACCATTATCTTTAATACATTTGTCATGATGACGCTGTTCAACGAATTCAATGCCAGAAAAATTCACGGCCAGCGAAACGTCTTCCAGGGAATATTTACCAACCCCATCTTCTATTCCATTTGGATCGGTACCTGCTTGTCGCAAGTATGTTCATTTAAAGCTTAAAATCCGAGGTATTTTTTTATTTTAGTGCTGAATCAGTTTATTGATTAACATTATAATTGATCCTATGCAGGTATTTATCATCCAGTATGGTAAGATGGCGTTTAGCACAAAAGCTTTGACATTAGAACAGTGGATGTGGTGTCTATTGTTTGGGATCGGCACTCTGCTGTGGGGCCAAGTTGTCACGACGATTCCTACACGCAAGATACCCAAGATCTTTTCGTAAGTTATTCAACCAAATAAAAACATCAGTTTGATTCTTAATTTTTCCAAATATAGGAGATGAATATTTTCGATGGAGCATTACATATTGATGCTCCATCATCTTTAAAAGCGAGCGTCTATGTCGCTATCACTTTTCTTTTCTCTCTATTTCTTCTTTCTTTTATCTTGTTTTTTTGAAAACTTTTTTTTTTTATAAATTTTTTCGATGATTTTTACTTGCTTGATGAAAACAGTAAGTCTGTTTTTTTCGACAAATTTTTATTGTTTACTCACTTTTTAAAAATACTTTTTTGTTTTTCTATCTTTTTAAATTATGAGTAACCAATAGGGGAAGAAAGCTGGCGCATGGTGCCTAAACATTTTTGTAAAAAAGTTGAAACAAAAAAAAAAATTGTAATCAACAATTGAATAAGTGTTACGTATAATTTGAAAACTATCTCTAAATTTATGATGAAGTAAGAGCCTTTAATATTTACTTGATTTTCATTATACAACTGCTAACACATTAGCTGCCAGTCGGAGAGAATAGTTAGCGAATCGTAATAAGTAATGTGTAGTCCTCGCCTGGACCTAAATGTAGTACGTGGTAGTGACCTTTGCATGTTAGAAATGAATTTTTCAAATACCCACGCAGTTTTTCACCTTAGATGCGTGAATAACGCAACTAACTCGATTTACAAACTCTTTTTTTTTTAGTTTTGCTATACAATAGTATCTTTGCTCTCATCCTTGTAGTTTTGTACTACGATCCTTGCTTATAATTTTTTTTTTCCCCCTATATGAGCAAACTAACCACGCTGAATGTTGCATGCATCATATTTTTGAAACACCAGATAACGTTCTTTCAAAGTCTGCGTTCTTGTATGCAATCAGGATAATTGGAATCCAAAATTAGAGTATGCTTTTTATCAAAAAACGATAAAGTTTAATTTATCGAAATAAATCACTGGGCTACTTTAAAGAAAAAATTAGGTTTTTCCTTTTAAAGAAGCCTATAAATTTTCCTTTTTTTTGCCAAAATAAACATTTAACAATTATTTGCTTGATAACATACCAATTAATCAAAGAATAATCATAAGCAGCAATATTGGAAAAAATTTTATTTATTTGCCAAATCCCTTGTTTTATTCCCTCAATTAAAACTTGGACGGACTCGTCACATGTGTTTTCTAGCTTGAGAGGAAATTGCTTTAATCTGCTGCATTGACAAAAAAAAAAAAAATTGATTTATGACAGACTCTATGGACGACTGCTACAAGTTTTTTTGACTGATACTGAAAAATTCGACAATCACTACTTTATTTTTTTTACCTGAGAGTTTGCGAACGAGAGTTCGATTAGAACAATCAAAGAAAGACCAGAAACGAAAGACCAAGTGCTAGTGTATGTCAGGTGATTTCAAACTTGATTCTTTTTCTTAACCGATACAGCAACAACTAAATTTACAACTAAATTTTTCTCACAACACTGCCAACACTGTTTTGCCATAAACACTCAAGTAAGTCTAACATATTTAACATAATCATTAATCACGTTATCGCCAATCATTTGCCGCGTCGAGCACAAACTTTTTGTACGCCACATGACACTACGAGAAGGATGTATCTTCTTCTTGGATTATCACGAGTACATACATTGTAGCGTGTTAACAATGTTGTAATGTTTATACGATTGTATACTGGAAACGATACACATGTTCTTGATTTCGCTGCCAACGAAATCTTTACGATATATTACATACGATTGTTGTGCGATCAGTAATTAGACAATTAACGCGTGCTGTGCATGAAACAACAAAAGTCGTTGCGAGGAATCAATGTGGTTTATTTTTCGTATATGAATAGCCTTTGGACGAAAGGCCGTTGATTACATCAAATTTCAAGTTATTGATACTTAGCTGTTATATTTATTTGTTGACTTATGTTTTTTTATTATTAAAATTTTGGGTCCAGCATCGACCAGAAGCGATTTAGATCTCGTCGTTGCAGCTTGTGAAATTTACTTTTATTGTTAATTAGATGATTATAGATGATTTGTTTTTTCTTGTATATCTATATTACATGTTTGTCTAGAGTTGACGTTAGATTATTTATACGTATTATAGCGATTCGATGTTAAATAAGAGAACCAACCGTTTCCAAAGGCAATTTGTTTTTGGGATCGCCGTACCATTGTGTTTTTAAATTCCTTCTAGCATTACACGTTAGAAAGAACCATTCATTTTTTTTTATTTTACAACGATCACATTGAGCCATTCGTTATCGATGATATTAACAACACAAAAGTCTATACTCACTAACTCAAAGGGTGCGCGCCTCTTGTGCATAGCGAACAATTAACCAATTATGAAGGAGCTATTATTTGTGATAAATACTAACATCGAGAATCAAACTTACTAATCTGCAATAATAATAATATTGTACTTTTATATTAATATAACTAACAACACCATCACCCAGGCACTACCTCTGTACTACACGATGAACCATTCGCATCTTTCTCTCTCCGTTTCGTTTCCTCTACTTTCTACTTTTTTTTTCTCGATTATTTCTTTTTTTTCTTTTTTTTTACCTCATTTTATATTTTTATATCACTTAATTTATTACTGCAACTACATAAAAATATACACAATTATTGACATATGTTATATATATTATACGCACTGTTCTCTCTGTGGAACAGCGCGCAATTCATTTATTTTATTTTAATCAGCGATTTAATTATATACTTGCCATTTCAATCGTTGCTCGCAAATCATCGTTGATGATTCATTCGATGATTTTATAGCCAAAGTCATAATTCGCAATGAGTCATTAAACACATTGTAATACGGATGGTCGAAAACAAAAGGCATCTTTCCACCTTCCTTCTTCTCATTTGTCGACTCATGTTCGTCCACCACATCTTATTACTTGCTATATAGACTCGCTGCCGTTCATCTGTATTTATTTATTTTATTTTTATTTTTTTTATTTTCAACTTCATGTTTATATTTGTTATGGGCGATTTGGAAATGAGGCTATCGATGTTTTGTGTAATTGTTTTGCTCTATAGAAAAAAAAAAAAAAAAAAAAAAAAAAAATTGTCTGTGTGCCAAAATTAGTGATTAAATGTCGCTTGTATGAGTTTAAATTCATGTCCAAGTATATATATTTATATATTGTAATTGTTGCATCAGTATATATTATAAACGAGTTGTTAGTAAAGTTACGAAATTGAAAATTTAAAGTTACTTTGGTATTGTTTGTTGTGAAAATTTGTTTATCATCATACAGAAATTGAGTACGAAACAAAATTATTGTGCAAAACAGTCTCATTCTGAAGTCCGTCTCAAGCATATATATATATACACAACAGAGCGAGAGCTCCATCCACGTAAATTATCATGTCCCATCCCCTCATAACCACCCCCCCCTCCCCGACAACCAGTAAACCTTCTTTCTTTCTACCTCTCTTCTTTGACTACTCAACTTTTCTTCGGCGCTTGTCTCTTCGAGTCTTTGGTGGAGGAGTCAGTGGTCGGACCGCCGAAAGGGCGCCTCCTGCCGGAGGAGTGAGAGGAACGAAGGACGCCTGCGGGACGCCAATCCGAACAAAAATAAATCGATACTCAATTACATGAGTATACGAACGATGCATTTATATTATTGCGAGATATCAGCTGTTGCGAAGTTACTTTGTGATACGCATAATATAATGTGTATATTAGATAAAAGAGGAAAGTGCTACCGCGTCACGATATGTATAGATATCTAGTCGTTCACCGAGAGAACAAAAGAGCAAACGACAACAGCAACAAAACAAATGAAATTGTTGATAGTTGTGGTCTTTTTTAAAAAGAAAAAGAAAAAAAACAAAAACAAAAAAAAATTGTAAAAACTACTCTCCACGCAGCAAGGCAGCGTGATGCGAAGTAATTATGAAGCACTTTTGGTTTAATGTTTTTTAAAAACAGATGGGGCCGCGGCCAGCCGGACGATATCGGCGCTATCAATTTGGGAGACGAGAAATTCGACCCAGACTCGGATAAAAAGCCTCGTGCCGGACAAATTCTGTGGATCCGTGGTCTGACACGACTGCAGACTCAGGTAACTATCCCTATCTCACTCTCACTCTCTCTCTCACTCTCACTCTCTCTTTATTTTTCCATTTCTACGATGCATCATCGACCAATTTTTTTTTTCTTTTTTTTTTTTTCTCTCCCTACTTCACTTTATTGGCCCGAAAAAAAAAAATCGACAATTCAAGGCCCTCACTCTACGATGTATTCTTTAAGTCAGTCATGTCATTAAATCAACTATACATAATTTTTACGTATAATAATGACATTTACATGTATATGAATAACGATTATGCTGTAGCTAAAAATAAGGGCCGGATTTGCCGTCATCTTTTTTTCTATTTTCAGGACAACTTAGGATTAACTCTCTTCTCTTCTACCTTTTCTCTTTTTCCCGTTTACTTTACCCCCATCTCTCTCTCTCTCTCTCTCTCTCTTTTTCTCTACACCTTAATCTCCTTTCTTTCTACTTCTCTATCGTACACTCTCATTCTCATCTTTCTCTGTCTAAATTCTCTTGAAAAGGTTTCTACTTACATACAGTTTTTTAAATTACTTTTTTTTTTTTTTTTTTTTTTATATCCTTATTATGAAATTTTCATCTAGGAGTGTATCTTTGAATTCACCTCGCGACAAATATAAAGTAATGATGATTCGAAATCGGCAACATATCATTCTTATAGATTATTTTTTTCCGATTTTATTGACGAAACTTTCTTTAAAAAATGAAAAAAAAATTGAAATACGCAGAACTAGCATTGCTATACTTGATGCGACTAATTACGATGCGTGGCGCATACTTGAATTTCCCTTCATTCTTCTGTTTATTTTCGATGGTATATATTACTGTCTTTACCTTTCTTTGTATGAAAAAAAGGTTTTTCTGTCGAGCGCCGAAACGGGTGCGGGCGCTCGACTCCTTTTTTTTTAAAAGCACAATTTTATCTTGCGATTTTATCAGGTTCAGTACTAAATATCTTTCTATCGAATCTGAAACGATCTGTATAAAAAAAAAAAAAAATTATAACAAAAACCAAATTTAACACTAATATAAATTTAATAAAAAATATTGTACATATTTGTAATAGATTGGAAGGACTCCCTTATGGAGGAGAAAATCTTCCAGCAGGTCAGTGGCACGTACCTCGCCAATCACGAAGCAAATATCTTTTTATGCATTTTACATTGTGTGATTATAGATATATTTATTGAAAAGTACAGTTTCCCTTATCTTTAACCCATCACGAGTATACATAAAATTTTTACTTGTAGATTATTAAATCGCGTGTAACCTTTTTTTTTTTGTAACATTTCGATGTTTTGATACTGTATGAACTCTCGTAGTATTATTTATACTTTTCTCAATCTCTCTATATTTTGTATAATTTTTTTTTTATACTTACAAAAATGTATACAGTTTTTTTGCAAGTTTTTTCTGTGTAAAATCGCACTTCCGGCAAATGATAACATATAATTACAACATGTACAATGATCGCGTGTGTTTTATTAACATATATTAGCTGATTCGTATGTATGTGTACGTAATTTTAAATTATTTTTTTTCTACATCTAAAACTATTTTCATCTATGACTATTACACACATATAGAAGATTGCGAACGAACGAGCGATGTGAAAAAGTTTAATTATGAGGTTTGATTGGAATATGCAAGATACGAGTAACATATGATAACATATACCCGTGCACTCGAAATAAATTGTTCCCTTTAAACTTACACAATTTTTTAGTTCTCACTTGTGCCATTCGATTAAAAAAATTGAAAAATAAGGTTACGATTACCAAGTTTATTGTTATATATATATATATTTAAATATGAATTATATTTAACATACAAAACTGTACATTAAAATTCTTAACTTTATTTTTCAATTAACTACAAAACAAAAAATTTTAATCTTGGTACAAAAAGATGCAACCGAGCGATTTCTGAAAGCATCGTTCGTGAAAGCTTTTTCGAAGTTTTAAAGGCATATGGTATTTGTATCGAATAGTATGAAAATTGTGTTACTTTACGAAGCAAAAATACCGAGACTGGATAATAATCCAACATGACGTAAACTTAATTAGAAGAGGAGCTAGTTAAGAACCAATTGGAAATGGTCCACACAGTCCTCAACCAACTTCTGTCTTTTATTCTTTTTTCTGTATCTATTTTCGTTTTTTTTTTTTCTAGTTTAATTCTTGTTGTTTTATACATATAATATTATACATGTATAATTATTTAAACATTAGATAAAAAAAATGTTAAGCAATGAAAAAAGTTGTTTTAGTATATCTCGTCAATACGTAGCTCTCTCTCTTTCTCTCACTTCATTGTCTTTTTTAATCCACTTTATTATTTGAATACATGTGTAAATGTGCGGTGATTTATGAATACATACTACTTTTCATTTTAAAAGCAATCTGTGGGTGATGTAAATTTAAAACTTCGAAGAAACTCCCAATGATTTCTTCGACGCACGCACACGTCCTTCGAAAGTTAAGTGGCAGTAAAAATTACAATGACAAACATATATAGCTGACAACTTTCGTTGCATGCGAATACGATATACATTTAAGGTGTATGGGTAGAAAATATAACGTGGTATTACAGTCGGGCTTCTCATTTACACGATTGATGGAATAAAAACCGAGAGTGAGAGAAGAATAACGCAGAGCTGATGAAAAAAAAAGGCTTCAGTAAATGGATGTTTTGCTCCATTCGATGTACAAATATAGTTTCTCTATTATCGAGGTCTTCTGATCGATAGAGGAATGAGAAGTACAATAAAAAAAAGTACGTGTATGCGCGCGCGTCGTAAGAATCGCCGATCGCATCTGATGCAATTTTTCACGTAGGGTTTCACGGAAATATTTGCGCAAAAACCTCTACGTGGTTTCACTCCTGTACTTTGAATAAGTTGTTTCGTAATAGGTTTTTTTTTTTATGCATTTTTTCATTTTTTATAAAAATTTGGAAACGACCGGAAGTGCGTCTCAGACGATCGTAAAAAAAAAAATCTTGAAAAAAAAAAAAAATTAAAGTTGACAAAATAATCCTTAGGCTTGTACGAAGATTACCACAATGTATCACAGAAATTGTGTGCGTGAATAGGCGGAAAGGTACAAAAGTAAAGAGTGTGTGCCATTGTGTACAACATACATATACGACTATATATATTATATACATGATAATAATAAATTTATTTATTTATCATAAGAAAAAAAAAGGATTGATAAAAAAAACAGACAACACAATAACGGCTAGCATAATAAGCTAATCATATAAAATTGAATGTATAACCTACTTTCAGACGAGCAATAGAACTCTGGTGCAGAATGTATCTGTGACAGGCAGATCCCCCTCTCAGGATTACTATATGGTTAGTTCTCGCAAGTCTCCAATTCTCCGCTGTTTGGCCGTTTATTAATACTTATATATTAATCATGGTTTCTCGTTCTACTATTATTTAATTTGTACTATCTCTATTTCTCTATCTCTCTTACTCTCTCTAATTTTTTATTTCTATCTATCGCCTATTTTTCAGCGTTATTGTTTAATTCAGTTTAATCCGAGCGTTGAGTTGTTTTTTTTCCCTAACTTTTTTTATTGTCACGCGTTAATTTTTGTAAACACGCAATATTTATGTTAAACTCTTATAATTTTGTATAATACAACCGCCTTTACCAAAACGTTTCTATCCTTGTATCCAAACTTATTATTATTATTATTATTATTATTTCACACCAAATTGCACCCGCAATGCTGACATCATTTCTTTTTTTGATCGAGGAGTCCAAACGAAAAAGACTCTCTTTTTGCCGACTACTCTTCTTAATGCATAATTTTCTCAAAGTTTATCTCTTATGATTTGTCGCTTCTTATCAACTCACAAAATCTACTCATATCGTCTCCTTTTAATCCGTTCCTTTCTTGAAAAAAAAAAATATATATCCTATCCTGATAGTTTTTATTATTTTATTTTCATGCTTTTTTTTTATAATCATTTCTTTTATTAATCTTGTTCGTCGTTTATTTGCAACACTACTTTTATTACAATGAATGTGAATCTCTTTTTTGTTTATTTTACAAATTAAAATTTATTCTCGATAACATGTCGCATGCACGCATTCGCGAAATTTGGCGCGAAAACAAAAAAGCTTGTTTCAAACAAGAGAACAGGCTTTATGAGTATACAAACATAATCTGTAAATAATATACAATCCAAATAATTTGCGAGTGTGCCTATGATGTCGCGTTATTTATGATGCACACCCTTCGTTGTTCACACTTCGCTTGACTTACTATACTCACGTGTTCGCGCGTTCCATGTCATATACATATTTATCGCCTTCAATGAATGAAATGTACTTGCTTCATTTGTTCACGCCTAATTTACGTCGTCGTTACTTTTTTATTTTATTTTATTTTTTTACTATTCTCAATGATGAGCGCCGTATTCACATTTAATTTATCCAGTCAGTGATACTTGACTGAATGTTAAATTTTTTTTTTAATATAAATTTTGTTTTCATAACTCTTATTAATTTATCTCTATAAACGCAGTGTGGTATTGCTGTGATCTTATCATTTATATTGATCATCTAACTTTTTATTTCTAATTTTTTTTATGACTAACGCTATCACAAACAGCAAAATTGTTTATGCTGCCATTTTTCATCTATATATATATATATGTATGCGCTTACGTGTGTGTATCACAATGTATATTATGTACATACATAATATTACATACATCGATATTTTTCGGTCTTTCCACGCGAAAAGGCTCGCTATAAACATTTGATGTCCTGCCTTAATTTTTTTTTTTTTTGTTCGCGTGGAAAGCAAAGCTATGATGATTCTTGTGAAACGCAGAGTGTTTCTTCACAACCACGAGGAAAAATCATGCGTTTCCTTTACTTANGTACTTACATATACATACATCTATATATTTTAAACAAATCTTGCTTCTAAAGTCTTAACGTTTGTTTAACTGTTAATTTTATAGGTATATATGACTTTTG